ACATCATTTGCCATTTCCGTGCGATTGTCTTGCAGTTGCTTCTGCCCGATAACAATCAGAGCCAAAATGTTGCAATGCCATTCAGTTACAGCAGCAGCAGAAGCAACAGCAACTAGCAACAGCAACTATGCAAACAACGCACACAGAGCGACAACAGCTGAATAAAGTTATTAGCGCATTTAACTGTGGCAACGGACGTGGCGCACTCGTGCATTGTTCACTCGCTCCTCGTCTGTCCAACAACAACAGCAGCAGCAGCAACTGTGAATGCAATTTCCATTTTAATTACCTCGAAAAAGGCAGTTGAAACGACAAAAACAACAACGAAAAAGGCAGACGCTCGGCAGACAACCAAAAGCAAAACGTCGCCGGCAGTGGCGCATGCGTCGTGATGCATAGTAACAGCGGCAACACAAGTGCCAGCACGCCAGCAACACCAACGACACAGCAGCAACATCGGCCAACAATGGGCAAAAACAACACAGTAGCTCAGCGGCAGAAATTAGTCACACATTTCGTGCATCGTTTAAACTACAAATGCATATGGCGAGGGTGGATTAAGAAGTTATAAAAATATATTTCATATATCTGATGCTTCTTTACAGATTCCAATCAGCCTTTAAACTTAAAAAGTGTTTTTACTTCTGTAAGCTTAGCTTAAGCACTCATCAAAGCCAATATCGTCTGATTAAAAAACCAATAAAATAAGAACTAATTTGTCTAAAGCTCTTCAGAGTCTCCTAAGTTTATTGTTAAACAAGAAAAGTCGTAAAAAAGAGATATTCATTATGTCAAGCAAGTTGCTAAAACTATTCAATCCACTCACTCACTCACAGTCGCTCTACAACTCGTCGCTGCTGCTGGTGTTGCCATTAAAAATGCGAATTAAAATTCGACTTGTTGTTGGTCGGTTATCACTATATATCGTACTATATACGAGTATAGCTGGAGACACTGCTCACTTTTTCTGTGCATAAATATTTCAACACTTTCGCTTTTGTTTTGTGTCACACAAACACACACGGAGAGCGAGTGGGGAAAATTGTTTTAATTATTCCCAACGTGAGGCGCCTCCCCCTTTTTCGCTGCAGAAAATGCTGTGCATTTTAATTGCATTTTTATTTAATTTTACCTTTTGCTGCATCTAATTTGTCGTCATCTTGCATTGTTCCTCTTGTTGTTGTTATTTTGTAATACTTTTCGTTGTTGTTGCAGCTACTGTTTGGATTTTTTTTTTGAGCTTTTGTTTTTACCTTCTCGATGTCGTGTTCGGAGCTTCCCACGCACTTTGCAGACATTTCAGTTGATATTTTTTCTTCATTATTTAGCTGTCGTCGTGCGATCGTTTGCGTAATTTTGAAACGCAAGACCAAAACAAATCATGAAAATAATAATTTCGTCACTGTTGACACCATTGTCTGCGAACGAACGTCATCAAAAGTTGACTTTGTGCCAGCCAGAGAATTAATGCAAATTTTCATAATTACTGCTCTGTGTACATAACACGTCATGTCACTCGCTTTAGTTCATTGCACGTTGATTTATTCAAGCCGAAATTGTATTTACCAAATGAACTAATGGCTTAAATATGAGCTTTGTTATGGCATTTTAATTATAACTTCAAAAAGCCAAAGTTTTGTAGGCTTTTCTTCTTAATGACTCAAAAATCTTTTAAAATTGTTTATTTTTGTTGTTGATTTTTAACTTTAAGTTAAGATTTAGCAATAGATTCGTTAAAAAGCAGGTCGTTGCCTATCTGATTATCTTTCCGCTTAACGATTGCAAACCACAAACTAGATCATTGATTGAAGGAAACATTAGCTAAATTTATCTCTTGCCATTCGTACCACTTAGTCCATCCCATCACTCTCTAGAGTCCAACTTCCGCTGCGTCTGCGCAATTCTAGTGACCCAATTTCGAGTTTCGATTTCCAAATCCATTCATTGTTAGCCCGATTCGCTGATGTCTGTTAATTTATGACCGCCTCTAGTTTTTTTTCGGTACTGTGGGCGTTGCTATTGATTTACATACAAAACCAAACATATCTCGACTTCTGACTTCTTTTGTGCCTTTTTTTTTCCAGCCATCATATTTCTTTAAGCCGCTTAAATTTGCATTTTGGAATCGTTTAGATTACCATTTCAGATCAAAGATCGTCTGGGGCTAACAATTTCAATACTGCCGGCTTACACAATCTGCTGGGATCTGAGCTGGCAGACATAATATGCAAAATTTCACACACCAACTGGTAATTAATAAGAGCCCAAACAAAAACCGGAGCACTGCCAGGGTATATAATAAATTAATTACGACCACGATATCAAAGCGAAAGGCGCCGAAAACTCAAAATTGAGAATCAACGATGATGGCACTTGGAAAAATTTTAAGGGCTTATTTAAAAAATCTAAAATTAGAAGTTCCTACATAATATAATTTCCATGAAAGATACCATTTCTTAACACTCTTAAAACATTTTCCAGTTAATAAGATTATAAGAGTATTGACTTTTTGGTATTTGTAAGTGTAAAACTCGCCAATGTTGAGAACATTTTCGCCCCCTCACTTCTTTTCCAGTGACCATGGAAGTAACAGTAACAAATAATTAGCTTGTAAACTAAAAGTCATCATTAATAATGATTACCGCTGGGGGATCTGTTGGGTTCTTGCCACCAATACACCCGTAGGGAACCCCCATTCTTTCCCATCCCCTTGTTCTTGGCCATATTGTGTGGGTGTCTGATGGCAGATGCCGGCATAAACGTCAACATAATTAAGTGAGCGACTTCTTCTCGGGCATCGCCATCGACTTTTTCTACTCGGCTGCGATTTATTTCGCATTAACGTTAAATATTGCTTCCTAATTAACCACGGCCCGCTTGCCACATACAAACAGCGAGTGGGCGTTGCGGGGGGATATATTCCGATATATATATATATATATACTCCCTCGTAGGTTTCGAATTTTGCCCCCGATGATGATGAGCGGGATGATGATGCGTCAATTTTGCGGCAGCTAATTAGTAGCCGGCGAAATAGAAGAAAAACACACGCTTAGCGTTTACAGTTACTGTCAAAAGTTCTGGCCCAAACTCGAACCCAAAATACTAACTACGATTTGGCGTGACGCATTACCGTTAAACTGATTTTTGGTTTGTTACATTTTTGTGCTCTGCGGTCATCAGCAGGTTCATGTGGTCGCCCACTCTATGTTTTTAGCTAGGAAATCTTTTCTTTCTATCTGATTAGTGGCTAATGAGTACATGAGGGATTATGGGTAATTTACTAGAGAAATCAAAGGAAGTCGTTCTAAGTAAAGGAGGTTAGATTATTATTTATCAGCCAGGTTGGTTAAAACTGAAAGGGGTTAACGGTGAGAGTACATGCAGGCCCACAGAGATTTTTAACAGAGATTTCTGCTTTTAAAGCTATGACATAACCGAGGCATAAAGATATTCAAATGATGCCAATTTTTATTTCAGTCATAATCACTCATCATCTACTGATTACTTCCTAATCACTAACTTTTAACTAATACCATATTAGCTACCAAACTATAAAAGAAGAAAAACCAAATGACTAAGCTGGCTAAGCTTATTTGGTGGCATTAAAATCAAGTTGGAATCAATCGTCCGACGCCACTAAGAAGCCCATATAAACTTGTCAGCTGGAAGGCACTTAATTTAAGGACCATGCCCACTTTAAGCCTGGCCACTCAACTTTCGCCCCCAAGTCAGAGCCATAAAGTATATAGCGACAATGCTCTTAGCTCGACTTTGGGTGCGATAAAAATTGATATATAATGGATTATCGTTTATTACACGCACGATTACCCTCCCCCCATACACACACATACACCCATGCAAGACATGATGTCCTTGCCGGCGTCCTTCGCTGAATATGCATATTGTTTGCTTTTCTTTTCCTTTCTTGCCACTTTCCACATCTTCATCGGGATTTTTGTTATTTTCTTTTCGGTGCGGCGTACATTTTAATGAGCCTTGGCACAACCGCCCGCCCGCTGCCAATTTGCATGTGCAGTCGCGACCGGCCGTTCATATGGTTTTTCGACCCAGCGAGCCAGCAAACAAAGAAACGAATAAATAATCGTACAAAGTATTGCCAACCATAAATATCGGAAGCCCAGGGGGCTGGAACACGGCAGAAGATGCTGCAACATGGGCGACGATGGGACGTTGGAGGTGAAATTTCCATGCACCATGACTCGACAATAAAGCGCCATAATAAAGGCAACAGCCACGTCTGCAGGAGCAACAAACATCTACAAGAGCAACATCCACAGGAGCAACATATAATATACGGGAGCACCAGCAGAGCTGCCAAATCAATCATCAGAAATTGATAAAAATAGCTGCGATTATTTGGGTAAATAGAAATATATTTGAGAAATATTTCTTTTATTTATCGCGGATTTACCTCACAGCAGATATGGTTATGGATTTGGTTTGGAAAATCATTGTTTATAAGACTAGCCAAAGAATGAAAACTGCTTAAAGTTATAGTAAAAAGTTTCATATGATCCAATTTATATCACAAAAATCAGTTTAAGGTGCAACGAAACTTAAGTCTCTTAGTAACTGCCACAATTTCCTTTCAAAATTAGCCACATTTCCGAGTAAAATAGCCAACTCGCCAACACTTTCAGCAACAGCAAGCAGCAGAGTAGCAACAACAATAAACAAGACGCGCAGCAATTTCACTGACTACTGAGAACTTTACGTACTGTGACGAGGACACACAGCTCCCACTTTGGATACTCCTCTACTCCCTGTTGTACTCCCACTCTCAATCTCTCTCGATTCCCTTCCATCTTATGGCCATCCCTTTTGGACCTTCTTGCAACGTGTGCACTGAACGAAAATTGAGCCGTTGAACGCATGTTGCGCACGCTAATGGGGCGTATGCGTAATGGGCCCGCTTATTAAAACTTAAAGATGCGTGGCCGGACTCATTACCAGCGGATACAAGGGACTGCGCTTACCTTTCGCGGGAAATAGCCGCTGAGTGAGTTCCGATTCTCTTCGTTGGCTAACTGAAATGGAAAAGGAAAAGAGGATTTGTCATCAGTTGTGGTTGTGGAAGAAGAGGATTTTATGATTAAAACTAGAATAAAATTAATATATTTCAATTTATACCTTTACTATAGATACTTGTCTTTCCTAAGAATAAAAAATATATGCCTGAACTTTTCTTCAGTGCTTTTATTGCACTTGCTCGTGTCTGTTGTTATTATATTATTGCTGCTGCTCTCTGGCTTGCCCCTTGTTGCCTTCATTTATATTACCCTGGCCTCACTGTCGCCACTCCGCCAACATTTTCCGTCGCTTTTCCCCTGATTTTTCCCACCATAGTTTTCCTCGGGCTCCGGCTCGCTCGCTTTCATTCATGCGCCTCACGCTGCGCACTCATTTACCCTTTAACCGAAACGTTCGCCCCCTTTTTTGCATATCATTTGCGCGCATCTTGTTCGACCCCCGTCCGCTTCGACGTCCCTGCGAGCCCCCCTTTTAAGTGCATTACAATGAACTACGCTACAGAGCCACTGCATCCACCCCGTCGTGACTCGTAAATAAGTTTTATTGTGTTTGTGTGCCCACGCCTCCGAAAATATAGTCCCCTTCACGCCCTATCCATGACCCACCGACCCCCTACACCTTTTATCCACCCCTCCCCGCCCCCTGAGGATACAACAACGATGCAAGTTATCGCTTCCTTTTGTTTTTGTTTCTCGCTTTTCCATTTTTTGATAATTTAGCCAGCTTGCGCTCCCCAACGAAGTTGTCTAAATTGCTGGCATACATTCTGCAGCTGATACACAGGGGAAAAAACTTGCAACTATTACAAGCTTACTTCTTCGGATATATGAAGTTGTTTCTTGATAAATCTACACCTTTAAAATTGTTTTTAAAATAAGAAAAATAGAGATAGAGGTTCATCATGCAAGAAAAGCTAGTAGAAACAGAAGTTAAATTTTGGAAACTATTTCCAGAAATATTACTTTAGCATCTTAAGTTGTGGTTATAAACATATTTTTATAACCAAATGTTAGTCATTAATAGGCATTTTAATCGTCTTATAAAACATTCTTGAAAATATTACCCCATTAGTTTTAACAGTACTTTCACTTTGACCTAATTACAAACTTTTTTCATAAAAAAAACTCTTAAATTGATGATCAGTTTTTAAGTCATTTTTCTCAGTATGTTGCTGCTGCCCACTGTGTTGCAGTTGCTGCTGTTTCTGGTGTTGTTGCTGTTGCTGCTGCTCTTGCTTCTGCTGCTGCCGTTGCTTTTGTCTAGGTCCCAGGCAAATGACTACAAGAGTGGGCTTAGCAGGGACTCGAGCCGAGGACTGCCGCGTCCCGACCATCGCCGCTGAATTATGGCATTCCTAATATGGGCTATAGCTGTTGCTGCCCCTTTGAAACCCCCGTTTCCCCTTCCTTCAAAACCACCTCCACCTCCGGATTGTTGCTGTTGCATATTTAAGAGCGAATGGGCGCAATTGTTGCGCGTTTTATTGTTTTGGGAATAAGTGCGGATTTATAGAAATTTTCAGTTTCCCCGGACTGCCACGGGCTAAGCTGGCCCCTCGAGAGATTTTCGGATTGCTGCTGCTCTTGTTTTTTAACCTCCATCCCCCCTCCAACCAAAGAAAAAAAAGAATAACAATATTTTTAAGTGCAACTCTCAGCAGTTTTTGGCCAAAAAGGGGGGCAACTAAAGAATATTAAAAGAGGGAGAAGCCAAAGTGAGATAGACTTCGACAGCACATGACATGAACTCAATTACGGACTACCATGGTATACTCCCACCGAAAAAAAAAACAGAAGAAGAAGAGAAGTGGGCGTGGCAGACCAGTCGGAGGTACTTGGGCTAAGAGTCCACAAATTACAAATGCCGCTCTGCATGTAAATGTGCACTTTTCTCTGGCCCAGCATCAAAATTAATATACACCAGTGTGGCCAGGAAGTGCAAGGAAGATAGCAGCAGCCAGAGACAGAGACAGCTCTGTCTATCTAGGGGAAATGAGAGGGGGACATAGGCGACTGGAAAGAGACAGAGATGGCGCAATAATAACAATGAAAATGCACAGAATGCGCCTTATATAAACGACAACAAATTGCCCATTTGGCACAGAAGACGATGATGACGGTCCAAGGTTCGTTAGCAACCAAGTTAGGGAAAATGGCAAAGAGGGCAGAACATGGTATGGCACTGCACAGCAGAGCAGAGCAGAGCAGAGCAGAGCAAACCCGTGACATGGTAGACATTAATTGGCTGCCATGTCATTCTGTTTATGGACAGGATCTGGCCCATTCCCATTCTATTCAGCACTCTCCTGTCAACGCCAGGCAATTCGGATCGGTACATTAGCGTTGGACGCGGCAAGGATGGCAATATTGATTAATAAAAGTGCAGTGATGTATGGTAATTTTTGTACGGTTAAGTTACTCATACAAAAATGCGAATGATAATAATCTATTTAATATTTTTGTTTGTTAAAACAAAGGAGATTGTTAACCAATATTAAAATATAAACCTGAATTCCACTTCAATTTAAGCTGTACTTATGCCTCTGTTATTAACAGGTTGTTAATATAACACCTATGTAAAAAATAAAAGACATTCTTCATTAAAAAAAAGTTGTATTTCACTCGCAGATATAAAAAATATTTATACATTTCCAATTGCGGTTTGTGAGCGTGTCTTTATAGAACTCAAAATGGTTAATGGTTGCTTTTTTATTAAGTGGCTTATCAAAAGCCCAATAAATAACCATTTTTTATGAAACCTGACAGTAGTATTTTGAAATCGCATATTGCAGGAATTTATATGTAAGTAAATAGACAGGTGAGTCATACTGTACTTGCAAACCTTTTACTTTTAATGACCTACTTTGCAAGTCAATGGAAAGTAACACCGTCCATTTGTTAATTGTTTTCCCATCAATCAGTTTTCACCTCTCCGCAGCCGGATTGGTGTTTCATGACCCCAAAAAAGCCGATTCGGATGCAGTAACAAGCGGAAAGGAGGCAGTCATGTCAGCTGTCCAGTCAACATTACGCATACGCCGCATGGGACGGCCAAAGGACGAGGTAAGCAGTGTGTGTGTGTCAGGTAGCCAAGAGACTCCGCTCTGACTCTGGTTTTGGTTCTCCAACTAGACAGCCGTATTATTAACGCAGTTGCTGCTGCTGCTGCTGCTGGCATTTGCAATTTTACGCCGCGCATGTGCCACTTACGTGTTTGGCTGCCACAAAACTCCGCTTGGCTTGGCTGACTCGGCTAAGCTCCTATCATGTTCAAGTGCTTGGCCCCAAAAACACAACAGTGGGTACAAAAAAAAGAAACACAACAAGAGACTCTAACCAAGAAAGAAACAGCGTGGCGAATGCATAGGGCTTCTGATGTTGCTGCTGTTGATGTTCATGTTGCTGCTGGTCGGGCTGCTGCTGTTGCTGCTGCATTTCCACTCGAGCTAACCCATGGTGTCACATTCGTCGACGCCAGTCAGTCAGTCATAGTCACCGACGACCGTCGACCGACTGTGTGTTGCAATTCTTGTGGTATTTGTGGCATAAAATAAAACGTAAATGAGCAAAGGCAACTGCAACACCACGATGCCACAATCTCATTTCGTTTGCTGTCGTATTGAATTCAATGCATTTTCCGTACGACACCTTGAGGTGTTCATTTTCATGCCAGAAGAAAATGCGCTTAATTATGCGCCGCAGCAAAGCGATTCTTTTATTTGCACATTTTTTGGAGGCCATAACTTTGCAACTGGAGCGCGCTGCAAGGCTAAAGCCCAGAAATTGCAACAGAATCGTAATGGCTTGGAAAAGTTTTAACGGCCAAACAAAAAATATAAATATTTTATATAGAGAAGAGAACAGAAGAGCAGAGTAAGAGAGGGCGATAACTTGAAGAGTTATTGCCAGAGACAGCAGCAACAAAAAAAGAAGGAAATACAAATAAAAAATACAAAACGAATCCCTGCAGAAATATGAATGAATACTTTATTGAATATTGTGCGACGTATGCAAAATGATGGCCGGCATTGCTGCTGTTGCCCGTTTCTGGTAAACCGAAGACCGCAACTGACAGGAAACCATTTAAACTGACCTCAAATGACAACGGCAGCGACAGCCGGGACCCAGACTCACAGTTCCAGACCCAGATCCAGCTCCAGCTTCAGCTCCCTTTCCCGGAAAATACATGCGAAATACAAAATGCAATGCCAGCCAAGGGATGAGGGGGCCACAAAAAATACCCACCCAAGCCCACAACCCAAAACCATGGTAACCCATAGATGGACAATGCGCTCTGGTCTGGGAATATAAAAACGTGGCAGCGCGAAGGAAAGAAACGACCAAAATGGTAGCTAGCCACAAACAAATTGGCAGCAATTTGAGGACCCAACAAAAGGCGACAAAAGCCCCACCGAAATGTTGTTGTAAGCTGCTGCAGCAGGACTTTCGCGGATTGTGTGACTCAACATCCCGGAAAAACCAACAGGAGCCGGCATGTTGATGGAATGAAATGAAATATAGAATACAGCTTCACATTTCGATTGATTTATATGCTCATGACCCCTTACCCCTTACCCCTTAGCACCCATAACCAATCCCAATTCTGAGCCAGAGAGGTTGCATTCGAGCTATGCAAATTGCATGGCTCAGTTATAATGCCATTCCCCGGACAAGGCCAGCATCCAGGGTAATCCAATACGCAGCCAGCCACTGGAGAAGCTGATCCAAGGCTAGAGAGCCGGGCAGATGGTCTGTAAGACATGGTAACGTGAAATCTCCGGTGAACGGACAACCTTAAATGGGAGCTGTCTCACATTAATCAAAAATTTTATGACATGAGATGGGTTCTATTGGGTTCAAAGAAGGAAAGTGGAGCCAGAATATGATTTGTTATATAAAAGAATGACTAGCCATGAGAAATTGTAGAATATTATCTGATACGGACAGCTTTTTCTCTTTGAAGAACATAAACATTGACAAAAGATTGTAATACTTTA